TCCATATCCAGCTTCTCCAAGGTCAGTGCCTCTGGAATCTCTGGAGTGACAGTGACACCTCCATATCCAAATTTCTCCAAGGTCAGTGCCTCTGGAATCTGGAGTGACAGCAACTCCTCCATATCCAAATTTCTCCAAGGTCAGTGCCTCTGGAATCTCTGGAGTGACAGCAACTCCTCCATATCCAACTTCCCCGCGGCCAGCCGCTGCCTCTGGAATCCGGAGCCCGCTGGCGTGGGCGCCGCAGGTCTCGGGGCGCGCGGAGGAGCCCCGGGGCCGGCGGCAGCAGGAGCCCGCGGGCGGCCGGGCCGGGGCGGCGGGAGAAGCCGGAGCAGCGGGACGAGGGCGGATTCAGGGCCCCAGGGTCGCGTTGCGCAGCAGCCACTGCTGGGCGCGGCCGCCGCCGCACTCGCGCATGGTGGGCACCAGCCGCTCCTCGGCCGACGGCTCCGCCAGGCACTGGTTGCTGTTCAGGTGCCTCAGGGTGAGCTTCTGCAAGGGAGGGGACACACAATTCCCGATGAAAGACGGCCTTCCGATGGAATTCCAGCCTGGGAATGTGATTCCCTGGCATTCCAGGCCTGGTTTGGTAACGTGGAGCACCGGGAATCTCCTGGAGCTCCAGGACATCCCCAGTGCGTCCCACCAAATTCCTGCTCCTCCCTCCGCTGAGCCAACAAAGCCCTCAGCAAAGGGAGAATAATTCCAAGGAAATCGTGAATTTCCAAGGAAATCGTGAATTTCCAAGGAAATAGTGAATTTCCAAGGTACAGCTGTTGGACGGAGGAGTTTGGTCCCCACGGCCACGGACACGTGGGATGTTTGGGAGCAGAGCAGGAATTGCTGCTGATGGGAAGGTATTTGCTCAGTATTCCATGGAAACACTCCTGTTCTCCTTCCTGGACACCCCTTCGGATCCCACATTTCCATGGGGTGGGAGAATTAGAGGGACACAAAATGAATTGGAAGGAAGAAAACACCACCTGTTCCACGGGGAGAACAAATGCCCAGAGAAATCCCGGGAAGTTAAACAGGGAATTCTGTTCTTAAATAACACCAGAGAGGCTCAGTCCCAGCTGAGCTGGGAGCGTTCCGACCACCATTCCCTGGGATTGTGCCTCCCCTCCCAGTCAGGAATTCCCAATTCCCAGTATCCCATCCATCCCCAGTCTCTCTCCAGCTCTCCTGGAGCCCTGGAAGGTCTCTGAGGATTCCCTGGATCCTTCCCTTCTCCAGGGGAACATTCCC